AGTTTGCTGAAATGAGAAAGATTTTTGGGGTAGAAAGGATTGAAGACTCGAAGGACTCAAAGAAGTAAAAGAAGACTCAAGGTCAAGATTGGGAGGGTGATTGTTGGACCAATCTTGACATTCAGTAATAGTTAGGGGGTTTATTTTGTAATTATGTTGAAGTCTTTATTTGTTAATAATTAGGGTAGAGTCAGTCATAATTTTAGGAGATATATCTCAGATGGATTTGAGATTATCATAGCTTGTAGGAGTAGGAGATGTTATGCTTGGAGAGCAAGGCTGATGATTTAACTTGGTGGACAAGGTTAACTCATCTATAAATAGGGATAGTTTCTCTGTATTTTATGCATTCAAAGTTTTTCAATTAATTGGAGAAGGATTTCCAATAAGTTCTTGTTCTAGATTTTTGTTTTCTGTTTATCGAGATCTGGTACCAATAACTTCATACATAACTTTGTTTGCTTTACTCCTTACTGTTCTTTGGTTAATTGATCCCTTGCTAATCATTTCCACCACTTCATATTCCTGGCTTTCTGAACTCAATAAATAAAAATAGAGAAGAGCTTTTATCTTTGAAGGTTTAATGCAACTTTTGCTTTCCGATTTTCTATTTTCTAACAAAAGCACATTAACCAGCTGAATGCCATCTTGCCCTGTAAGGGATCTCATTTTGTGAAAGGACATCAACCTAGTAGAATCCCACAAATGGGGTCTGAGAGGGTAGATGTACACAAACCTTGACCCTACCTTAAAAATTGAGTGTTTTAGAAGACCTCTGTCTTAAAGAACCGGAAACACACAAATAAACAAAAGTTGCCATGATTTTGGAATAGTGCAAATATGCAATAGATATTATCTATTGCATATCTTAAAATCTTAAACACTACATAAGCTTTTCCTATAGTTGTTTGTATCATGTGTGTTTTTCATGGAGATAGTTTCTGTACGTAATTTGTTTTTTAATAGGTCTTCACGTGTGTATTTCATTTAATAATATCTGAATATGATATCACATGCAGGACGATGTCAAAAAAATGGCTGCACAATTTCTAGAGTATGTCATTAAGAATCACCGCATTAGTCGAGAGCGGGTGATGACAGTGAACATATTTCAAGCCTTCCAAATATCTATGGTAATCTATTTGTGTGCTTTTAGTTTTTTTAGTTGTAGGGAGTCAAATAAACATTTAAGTACTGAACTCATCCATAAGATACAAGCACAAGGTAAAAAAGAAATCGTAACATTTTGTCCAAACTTTGATATATAGTTCTCAAAGCAACGGATTTCATGTAAATCTTTATGCGATCTTTCACTGCAACATGGTTGAACACCTATTGGAAGAGGCTTTCTGTGTGTTATTAGTAATAATATTAGTATTTTAGTTAAGTCCTGAGAATATGGCAGGATCTGATTTGGCCATTAATATGGGAGATTTAGGCATTAATATGGGAGATATAGTTTCCTTATATTAGCACCCTTCTTATGTATATATATAGTCATTTTGTAATATGTAATTATGTATTATGAGGAAAACCTCTGATTATCAGTCACATGGTATCGGAGCCAGTGTGCTCTAGGGTTAGGGTTCATTATTTGTAAAAAAAAGGGGGGGGGGCATCTGCCATTTTGACGCTGTCTCTAAGGGTGCTCGCCTGACGTCACCCATGGTTTTAAAAGGCGAAAAAGGCGGTCCGCCTCGAGGCGGTAAGGCGGTCAGATCTAGCCTCAGAGGCGTCCGCACCAGGTGGGATCTGTGAGGCGTACGCCTTGTTTTTCTGAGGCCGTCCAAGGCGGTTGAGGCGATAAGGCGTTTGTGAGGCGGTAGCCTCGGTTTGGATCTTGTTTCGTGGGATCGGCAATTGACCAAGCGGAATTTCGATCGACGCGCCTCTGTTTTTACCCGATCAGACTTCGGAGTTCCGACTCTGTAATCTCTTTTTTTTTACGGCTCTACACCCTTTCTTTTTACGAACCTCCCAGAGCTCTACTCCCTATTTCTTTTTTATTTTCTTTTTCTGACGGCTACTCCCTGAGTCCCTGTTTTCTTATTGCACTTGTGGTCTTATCTTTACCCAGGTACTTTTTTCCTTTTTATTGAGCTTTTTTAATACTCCGTACTCCATATACTCTGTTTGTATTTACTCCATTCTCCTTCACTTTTTTGTTTAGAACTTTTTTTTACTACGCCTACTACTTTATTATTTTAGGAATTAAGTTTTAAATGATTTGTGACACTTAAGTATTGTGTTTTCTTTAATTAAAACATATTAGTGTTATATAATACCATTTCAAAATAATACCATGAATATGGATTATTTAATTTCCTTTTTATTTTACCCTTTTTTTGTTTAATTGAAAACCTATGTATGATTTTATGATTTAGTTTACATAATTATGG